CAGACAGATCTCCAAATGCATGCGTCGAGACTTACGTAACTTTAATACTGCTCGTATTAAAGAAGCGATAGAGCGGAACCAGGGCTCCAAAGTCTTGCCAGAGATCTGTCTGCCAGTAAGAGCCAACTGTCAAAGCTGAAGACTGAGTTTGGCAGCATCGTTTCCGGGATACCTGAGATTTTGAGTGAGATTGAGAGGTTCTATGGGCAGCTGTACACATCATCGTTGGAGCCATACGCAAGTGTGAGTAACGATCCAAGAGCAAGTCTTATCCGACACTATTCCGATTATATCCCGGACGTCAGTCTAAGCGATATAAGAATGACTCTCCAGCACCTTAAAAACGGCAGGGCCCCAGGCGAGGATGGAATAACAGCGGAGCTTCTGAAAGCGGGTGGAACACCGGTACTTGAAGTCCTTCAGAATCTCTTCAATTCCGTCCGCCATGGTGGCACTACTCCAGAGGCGTTGAGCAGAAGTGCGGTGGTCTTGTTCTTTAAGAAAGGCGACAACGCTCTCTTGAAGAACTACAGACCGATTTCCCTTCTAAGCCGCGTCTACGTTCTGTTTTCGAGAGTCATTACGAATCGTCTCGCTCGCAGACTCGACGACTTTCAGCCTCTCAAACAAGCCGGTTTCTGAAAAGACTTCAGTACAATAGACCACATACATACCCTGCGGCAGATTGTACGGAAGACCGAAGAGTACAATCTGCCACTTTGCCTGGCGTATGTGGACTTTGAGAAAGCCTTTGATTCTGTAGAAATTTGGGCGGTGCTACAGTCCCTTCAGCGGTGCCAAGTTGACTGTCGGTATATCGAAGTGCTGAAGTGTTTATACAGTAGGGCTACGATGGCTATCCGAGTACAGAACCAGAGCCCGAAACCTATCCAACTGCAGAGAGGTGTAAGATAAGGTGACGTTATATCCCCGAAACTCTTCACCGCTGCATTGGAAGACGTTTTCAAGCTACTGGACTGGAAAGGATACGGTATTAATATCAGTGGCGAGTACACCACTCACCTTCGATTTGCCGACGATATAGTCCTTATGGCAGAATCACTGGAGGACTTAAGCACTATGCTCAATGACCTCAATAGTGCCTCCCAATGGATAGGTCTTAAGATGAACATGGACAAAACAAAGATTATGTTTAATGTCCATGTCACACCTATGCCGGTAGTTGTTGGGAGCACTATGCTCGAAGTTGTTGACGAGTACGTTTAACTGGGACAAATAGTCCGACTAGGTAAGTCCAACTTCGACCGAGAGGTCAATCGACGGATTCAACTCGGCTGGGCAGCGTTCGTTAAATTACGACATATCTTCTCGTCAGGTATACCTCAATCTCTAAAAACTAGATTGTACAACCAGTGCGTGTTGCCAGTGATGACTTATGGACCTGAGACGTGGTCCTTCACTGCTGGCCGTATGAGGACGCTCAAGGTCGCTCAGCGAGCTATGGAGGGCTATGCTCGGAGTTTCTCTGCGTGATAGACTCAGAAATGAGGATATCCGCAGTAAAACCAGAGTGACCGATATAGCCCAACGGATTAGTAAGCTGAAGTGGCAATGGGCCGGCCATATAGCTCGATGAACCGATATCCGATGGGGAAGAAAGGTTCTCGAGTGGCAGTCTCGTACCGGTAGGCGTAGTGTAGAGACGACGGTAGTGTAGAGCGACTATCTAGGGAGCTATCTAGTGGTTTAAGGGGATGGAGTGACGACCGTGGTAATGATATGCAGGAAGTCAATGGATTCAGGTGGCTCAGTACCGTGCTTTGTGGCATTACTTGGGGGAGTACTATGTTCAGCACTGGACTTGTGAAGGGCTGTAATGATGAGTGATGATGAATGTTTACGTATTAGGAAGTTTTTGTCCACAACGGTACGACGATTACACGTACAGAAATGCTATCAAAAGGGAATTATATCCAACTACAATATTTCATTACTTTTTGAAAATTCTGCGCAAACGGATTAATAAAACAAAAAAAAAATTGTGAGAGCAACTCTATAGTCAGAAGTAGTTCAGGCCATTTTCGACCCCCCTATAACTCAGTTGTGAATAAAACTGGGAACTTGAATTTTCAGAGACCAAGGAGGCATTGTATAAACCATATATTTCAAATTTAATTCAATTTGAACAAGTAGTTTAATAATTTTAACTAGTCAAAGTTTCTTAATTTTGTCACTCACTGACTGACCGATCATCAAAACTATAAGGCACTTCTAGCAGACATAGAAGCTTCAAACTTAGAACAAAATTAGTGTTTAGTGTATAAATCAAGGAAAAACTTAAATGTTTTCCGATTTCGGTCCAGTTTTCTAGATACACTAACAGCATAAATAACTTTGTTATCCTATATAAATATATAGTATAACAAAGTTATATTTGCAGTGAATGATATAGTGTTACTCTATATGTATAATAAAAAACACCAAACACCAATGATAGTGTAACTGTATATGTATAATATAATGGAATAAAAGTGTACAAGATAGTTACTTTGTTGTAAACAAGAAGTATACGGCAACACAAAAAGGTCAGAGCCGTGTCAAAGACACTAAGGGATATACTTATCGTGGCAAGTGTCATAGTCTCCCCTAATTTGTTAATCGTTTTAACTTATACCTTGTTTCATTCAAAATTTATTTAAATATTTATTTTTAAAGTACACCAACGATGTAGCAACAACGCAGAAATAATATGCACACATCAACTTGACGTTAATTACTTGTTACTAAAGCACAATTAAATAATGGTAAATATAGCCTTTAGTTACTAAAAAGTTCCTTAGTAATTCTCAATACACAAAATACAAAAACTTAGGATACATCAAAATAATATTATAAGTATAAAACAATTACTCTTAGGTACTTAAATAATGGATCGTTTACTGTGGCCTTAAACTTGCCTAGAGACATAACATGTACATGTATTGATCACCCTACTTATTAATTGGCTCACAGGGCTTATAAATTATTAACATTCAGTGTTAAAATACGTACGTATAGAATCTCAGGTTCGACAGACTTAATCCGCAATTATTACACTATTAAAATTATATCTGCGTTCAAATTGTAGAGAAAGCACGTTTTGTGGTGAGAAACGACTAATGCTTTAGATCCAGAATTAATGAATTTACATTGGTATAACTACTACAATGCTTAATATCGGATATTTATTTGTATGTTTCAAAACTTTGTATTTCAGTATACAGTTTTGACGGCAACCTTATTTTAAAGACTGTCAAATGCCCACTGACGTGTACACGTGTAATATTTTACGATACTTTTTCTGTAAAACTGAAGTGATAAACGAACATACTATCTTCCTGATGGTAAGTGGCTATTGCAGTTTATGGAAACTTGCAGCCAACTTCATACAAAGAGGCATGCAGATGCGTTGTCACATCTGAGGACTAAGACGTCTATTGCTTCGCAGTCTGTGATTATACTGGCTCCCACGTTGGACTGAACACGTTAAACTGTATTTTAAAAAAGTATTTAATAATAGTTTTAGTAACATTCACGTAAATCCATGTTGAAATGAAAAATGAAAAAAATGACACAATTAATGTGGTTTTTGCAACTTTCAACAAAACTAATTTTATGGGTAAGTTTGACATGACAACTATAAGACATGCGTATATCACCGAAGAATTCAAGTGAAATATTGGCGCCTTGTGCTTATTCATTCTTTTATACACAGCCTATCAAAATCACACCGCTGGACGTCCTACGATCGTCCTCATCTGTTGCCTCATAAGTGGGATTTTTCATAATTGTCAAACTTGGTAGGCGGGTCGGCAAACGCAGTTTTTTTTTATTTTCTAGTGGTTGTTATATATATGCATCTCCTCCGTTTGTTTTCCTTCGGCACTTCTTATTGACTTCACGGCTACAATTTTCTACACGCAAAAGTTTCTTGTATAAATAAAATATAAAGAATGATGACCGGAACTTCTAGGGTTACGAAAACATTTTCAAGTGATCGGCAAAACAAATTTCGTCCATATTACGGTGACAATTAAAAAAAAACATGTCTATTATTGCTTTTCATTGTATGTACTATCTGTACACAATATACCGATTATCATAGATCTCCCCATCCAAGATACGTCGTGAAACTAGGTCTCTGTTAAAATAATGATGTCATTATTTAATATTTCTAGATAAAGCGTATGAAGTTTTGTACGTAATCCCCGTGCATTTTGATAATAGACAGATATTGGTGTCTTACCTATTGTGTAAATTATAATTTTGCGTTATTATTTTAACATATAATAAATAAAATAAATAATAGATTTTAAATATAGTTAACTCACTAATGCATATATATAAATGTACACCATGTATATACACACATGCATATACATACTTACATATAAACATATACCCAAACCTAATACATACTAATATAATTTTCATTAGCTGGTAATGATTATGACAGATAAATAGTTTAATTGAATAGAAAAACATATTATTTGCTTGAGCAATTGATATTAATAGGTACAGTTTTTGTACTTGTGAGTTTAAATAAACCGACTGTATGCAAAAACTGGGGAATGATTTGTGGATGTGTATATATTATGTGTATTAATAGATAGAAAAAATACGGGGTAATTTTGTGATGTATAATGTAAATCGACTGCTATTTGAAATTGATTATGGTTGCAATTTGTAAATTGTATAATGGTGTTTATGTTGTGTTGTGTGTTAGTGTTTAATGTGTGTGTGTGTATTTTTTATACAATATTTTAGAATAAATAACGTACCTTTATGGCAATAATATAACATGTTTTCACAATGTTTCCGTCTTACATTATAAAAAAACTTGCTAAGTAAGTCTATACTAACTATTATTGTATACTTTATTTCAACTATTTTAAATCCAATTCTGAATTGACAATAATGTGTGGTGATGTATCGTTTCAACGAACATATATTTTGCATTTTTTTATCCAGATGTACCTATAGCCTAGCTCGGTAGTTATTTATCGACACTTTTTATATAACCTCCTGTTATCTAGAGTTAAATGCTCGTTAAAAAATATTTTCTTGAGTTCACCTCCGTGCCTAAGATCTCCAGTAGTAACGATGTTTTTTGACGCCAGCAATGAGATTATCCTTATGAATACGGAGGACATTTTTATAATAATATTGCGGGGTCGACCTTTAACGGGATCTTTCGATTGTACTCTTGTGCAGCTTTCTATATCGCCGATGCTCATCACAACACCTGCTTTTTTTGCTATGCTTAATACTATATTTGTAAGATTTTCAGTTTTAATTTCTGGTGCTCCCACCACTTCTACATTTAACTGACATGCCCACTGCTCTTGTCTTTGGTCTTTGAAAGAAAGCCTGTCTAATATCACTTTGCATTTCGGTAATTTCACGACTTTGTATCTTAAGTTTTTCTTCTGAACAATTTGCACGTTCCTGTAGAGTATCGATGCGCTTGGATGAGAATTCCAAGGAGCCTGTTGAGCTGAGTGTATAGAAGTTAAAGGATCCTTAATAGTTACTTGGTCCTGAGAAAGAATATGTGAAATATGTTTTAGATTACATAGTTGTTCCTTTAATGACGATACTACATCATGTATTTTTTTAATATTCTCCTCTTGCGATGTTTTGAATTCAGTAAGAGAGAACATTATCTCTTTCCTAAAATGATTTAATTCGGATTTTATTGCTTCTTGTTGTTGTTTTTCTTTTTGATCTTTGGAGGGTAATATTACGTTGCTGTGTACCCTCGTTATCGCATTTTGCATTATCGGGCTGGGAACTAACAAGAGCAACTTTGGCTACAGGCGGAGATTTTTGCGGGTTCATTACGTATCGCAAACCAATATTATGAGGCCTGTGATGCAGTTATATAGAGCGTCAAGTGAGACAAAAAAATTAAGAGCCCGTGCCCTTTACTCGAGGAGGTGAGGTGTGGGGATTTACTGACTGAGAAACACTACTAAACTGTTCACACAAATAATAACAGGCTTAAGTTCCTTAATGAATGCACAAGATTATCGTCTTTACGTTGATTACTTAAAGATTTATTTTGATTGTTGTCACTTCAGAATAAATTAGAACGACAGAAGACACGTCCGCTCAGTACAAACGCTAACGACTAATGAATTAATGTTCCCTAGGAACCTGTTTTCGAGAAAAAAAAACATATCTTGAGTACAAGCACTAAGTTCACCAAACGTAGTAAGTTTGGCGAAGTTTTGCTGCTTCATTAACTTCAGAACTTATCATGCATGAAATTTCAATCCTTTCTTGCAATATTTTTATTTTTAGTTTACACTTTTGACAATAACACTGCAAAACTACGAACAAAAACTATATTATGCGTAACCACATTTACCGGCACAGCTTATCAAAAGTGCGCTCTGCATATATGCCTCCATAGATTGCCTCATAATCGCCATAGTTACCTTGCTTGGCAGGCGGGTTTGAAACCAAAGCATTTTTTAGTTGTTATAAGAAAAAGAAGAAGGAAATCTCTTGGTTTGTTTCCCCTAATCGCTTCCTTCGTCCCCGGGGCAAAATAAAGTAGTGAATGATCTTAAACCACCAACCACTACATGGCACATAACTTATCACAATGGACAAAATAACAAACTACTAGCTAAGTAGATTGATGAATTCCTTTTCCTACCTATGAGTCGGTCTGCGTAGGTTACCACCATCTTACCTATTTCTGCCGCCAAAGAGTGCTTGCACTGCTGTGTGCTACTCTGAAGGGTACGGAGGCAATATTATTACAGCCTTTAATACTTCCATATTAGTCCTCAGTCCTGACTGCCTCGTTGGTCTAGTGGTTGTAGTAGTACGACTGCTGATCATGAGGTCCTGGGTTCCATGGGTGAATCCCAGGTCGGGCCAAAAAAAAATTATTGAGTTTTTCTGTCAAGAAATTCTCAGTAGAGCTGCCCGGAGTCAGGAAGTTGGCGGTGTCTCACCCCCGTGCCTCGGAAAGCACGCAAAGCCGTTGGTCCTGCGCCTGATCTCTCTCCCGGTCGTGTCGGTTTACCGTCCCATCGGATTACGAGAGTGAGGGAATAAAGAGTGCACCTGTGCTTGCGCATACACTTGGACACTATAATCCTGTCCTGCGCCGATGGCTAGGCTCCGTTGAGGCAGGCCGCCGTGACCGAAATTCGATCTGGAGGACATTATTATATTATTATTAGTCCTCAGAGATGACAACCTATATGTAGCCTTCCGTAACATGTAGTTTGATGTTGGCTGCAGTAAATCGACGAACGATTGTATATTTTAAAAGAATATACTTTTGTTTTCATTGATTTTTTTTATTTTAAGCCAAATTATTTAAAGAAATCTATGCCATAAAAGGTGTGGTGTTCTGATGTAAAATTTGAACCTTTTTCACTACAAAATAACAATGTTTCCTTTTATCGTTGTTGCTTTTTCGTAATCTAGCTATATTTGCAGGTCTGGTTTGTCTGCGGATAAGCATAACTTGAGCTTCAATGATGTCTTGTAATTGAATTGTTATCAGGCTAATGAATCTTATAAACCACAAGCTCTCTCAGGATTTATAATCCAAATACTAAAGGTATTTAATATTTTTGTAAAGAAAAAATAACATCAAAGAGAGATTATTATTAGAACTATTATAAATTTTCTTTAAAATTGTAAAAAAATAAGACATGGTCTTACATAGGAGGTAAGATATCCGTAGGATCAGAGCAATCGACATAGCCCTAAGAATCATTAAATTGAAGTGGGCCTGCTATATAATTCGAAGAACTAACAATCCTCGGACCGGTAGTCGTAGGCGTGTAAAGTGGCTCATTTAAGAAGTGGGTGTGGGTTGGACATAAGTGCGTGTTTACCTCGTCACTTGTCATGAAGTACAAACCAAATCCGGACCATATCCCTAAAACTAAATTAAAATGGTTTCTTAACATCCTTACTGAAACAAAAACTGACAAATAGGTTGAGCATCCATAGGGAAGTTACACAGCTCTGTCTGACGTTTTATTTAAATAGAATTTCCCATAACACATCCCCGTTTTACTCGATCATAAGCTTTTTCCAAGACCATGAACGCACAAAAATCTTTCTGATTCTTGACCATAAACTTCTCTGCGATACTCATGGGAAAGACTTGATTCGTACATCACGTTGACTTTCTAAATCCAGTTTGCACATTCCAAATTTTTCCATCAGTTTCTTTCATAACTTTTTCAATTAACACCCTAGCATACACTTTTCCTATAATGCTAAGCAAGCTGATACCATGGTAGTATTTAGAGTCCGGATGTGACTTTTTCCCTTATATATTTGGACTATCATGACTTTACACTAATGTTTTTCATTGTTTTCATTACTTCATCTATACTTATCTAACTACCTCTTTCCTCTTCTACCAGAATTTCAAATTCATTTAATTTAAACGCCTCCTTACACATGAACACGCTTTCAAAATATTCCTTGCATTTCTTCAGATTTAAAACTTTATTATTCAGAATACAGCTAAGCTCATATCGTATAGCATTTATTCTAGGCTGTTTTGAATTTCCCCTGGCAATTCTTACGAGTTACCAAAACATTTTAATATTTAACTGAAAGTTATCAGATATCCTTCTATATTATTTTTATCCATTTTTTTTTTTGCTTTTTTCTTTCGACTACTTCTTTTACTTTTTTATTTAGACGTCTAAATTCTGCCTTTTTTCTGTATATCTCTTCATTCATACCGCCAGAATTAACAGCTTTGGTTACTATAAAATATAGCCATATTCTCTTCTTTGCTTCAAATTTCATCATCACCCTACTATAATGTATTATTTCTCCTTACATTCGTTCTATTACTTATGCCACCTACTTTGGTAGCATACATCAAAGCTTTGTTAGCATTATTCAACACAGTTTCTAAGTCTGAATCTTTTATATACAATTCATTTAACCTACTAATATTTTCCCTCTGTCTACATTTATACTTCTTTTTCACATCTTTATCTCGTAACCTCTCTATATGCGCTGTAACGTAGTAGTAGAAGCAGATGGCCGATGCCGCCACCGTCTGAATAGACCATTAGTTCGGCATAAGACAAAGTAATGATCCGTCTCTACGTTAGAGTTCCTCATTATCTCATCCACAATTATCAAGTTTTTCATCTCTTCTTTCACCACTTTCTCATATATACATATGAATATTTTTATGACGAAAGAATGTGTTCATCACAAAAATACTCTTTTTCACACACACTGTATGGAGGCTTTCACCATTCTCATTTACACTTTCATTACCAAATAATTCCAATTTTCTTTCATACGTAGACCTCTTCCACCCAATTCTTCCACTGAAATCTCGTAACATCACAATATTTTCATTTATCTTATATTTCATTAACGCAATCCTTACCAGGTCCCAAAAATTGCCCTTGTATATAAATGGACTAAGACATGTCTGGGGCATACACCCCTAAAACAAACAACTTTTAAAGCCCACTTCAATCGTATCCATAGTAGCCTCGGGTTTACACACTCATACTCTTTCACACATTGACCTACCGATGATACTGACTCCCTGGCACGCCCAATCGGTCTCGTCTACACCAGACCAGTAAGCATTTAACATGCCATGAACAGAGGCATTATTACTCTTCCGTTTCTTCTCATTTAAATATAACTCATCTATCATATATCATTTCGCTTACTTCAACCATCTTATCATTCATTGCTCCATATAAATTCAGCGTAACTATACGGGTATAAGCAATCCGCTTTTCAACCCTCTGAGAGGCAGAACGAGACGGGTTGCGAACCGCGTCGTGATTTTTACTCCTGGAAATCCTCCGCACCCCTGCACCGGGAACTCTGGGCCAAAAGAGACGCCGGGAACTCTGAGCCATTTCTTTTTCTTTCTGCCTCATAGTGCGAAATAGCTTTAGGTAGGTGGTAGATTTTACGTCGCTACCATACGTAGAGGAGCCGAGTCTCTTCCTTAGGCTTGTTCATACACAAAATTACGTATCATCGTTAAATATACCAAGAAATGAATATAAAATAAGTAATTAATTGGATTGCAGCAACCCAAATGATTTCATCAAAATCGGTCTAGCCGTTTTTGAGCTTTAGCGAAATTAACGGACAGCAATTGATTTTTGTTGAAGAAAATAAGGGTAATAAAAGAGCACAGTGCATCTGATGGTAAGTTGATAACTTTAAAACAAGTACACATTATTTGAATTTCGAATAATTAAAATTAATATTTTTGTATATTTATGACATTTTAACTATACGAAACACAGCAACATTAAGTTGTAATTTTAGTAATTAAGTCAGGACGAACGATGCTTCTACAATGTCTGGCCGAAATTGTAATAATTGCACGCTGATAGCATTGTTGATTATTCAAAAATTGTCACATCATCATTACAAAAAAAATCTAATTCCTGTGTGTGCAGTTCCAAATTCATAAATAGCAATATTAAAAAAGATAATAACGTAATAAATTTTCTGCTTAGGTACCGAGTAACGTGCTCACCTGTTTAAAGCTCCAATAATGGAGCTGTAAGGATTTAAACTGGACTGCCATTTTCATAACATGCGAAGTTAATCAGCAGAGGGTTGTTTTGGTTTTAGTACCGGCAGTTCATTATCAAGCTGTCAGAGGGAGTAA